CAGTGGCACACTGTGGGTCGAGTCAACTAGGGAGGACAGACATACATTTTTGACAAAACCGCAAATTTTAATGGTTATTTTCGTCACATTTTAAATTTCAAAGGATGCTTTTTGTAGAAAATGTGACGAAGAAACCAATGAAACCACCCTTGGAACCTCCAAGGTTTGTCGAAACGGAGTTATGAGCGTTTTAAGTTCTCAAATTTTGTCCGACCTCTCCGATTGACTCGGATCGATTGTGTGTCGTAGCGTGCTTTGCGTTAGGTACATCGATCGATCTCATGATCTGCCATTTAAATCTGTGGAAAAGGATCGAAAACAAGGTATTCTCAACGAACACCCTAGTACTCAATTCTTTGCCATAGCTTAAAATGAGGATATATGGATAATCGATCATTCATGCCTCGCCACTGGTGCTTGGTGAGCCAAATTCACAATATTTTGTATACTTTTTTGTCTGATACGGGAAATATTATAAAAATAGATTCAAAAGAGAGAAAGTGTGCCGCCTTGTGACGGCATTTCCCACGCCTATGAGCACGTATATTCCAGCAGATTCGATCTTTGGGTCATATCTTCTCCAATAATTGTTCAATTTAGTAACCAAGTATATTCTCGCGCTTGGTTCAGTCAGTAGTTTCCAATCAAATTTCAGACACCTACAAATTCTCTATTTGGTAATTTATCGTCTCTTTCCGGGACTAATACGGTCCTAACCATGAGCCTGAAGGCAGATTTTGGCACAAAACACGGGTTTCGTGGGTTTTGGGGGTTGATTGCAAAAAAATCCGCATTTCCTCCCCAAAATTGGCCTTCAGACCTATGTTTAGGCCAGTAATAGACCTGAAAAGACACTGAGAATAACTAAATCATGGTGAATCAAATAATATATTGAGTTCAATACGCAAAAATTGTAGAATAATGGAAATTTAACTGGCCCAAAAACGGGCCTTGTTGCTATACCCCATCTTTTCATGCATCCACAAGAAAAAGGTCATTTTCTGTGAAAAAATGAACAAATGTTCGAAAATAAATTATTACTATTGTGAGTTCATTGCGCGTACAAGAGTCATGTTCGGTGGAGCGTTCCCTCAATATTTAGAACGATTTTCCGCCGTTTTCGGTTCATCTCATTTCCAGGAAGCTATCCGGAATAAAGCTACTTTAAAAATGATGATAGAAAATTGATCAAATCAAACTTATAAAATACCAAGAGAAATGCAAGAACTAAAGACCTACGAAAACTTCAAAGCATTATTATTGCACTGAATTATGTGTTTACAAGGTTTGATTTAAGAATACAATTATTTACAGTTATTCAATGTTTAAAATGTACAGTTTTAGAGCGACTGAACGATATTTAATATACAGTTGTGAAAGAATGGCGTCAGATTCATGAATCACAATAATAAAGGAAAACCATTATAATTCAACATTAAACAGTGTAAACACCAGATGCTGGAAACAGGATACGAAGAGATCTTTATTTTTAAAAAATAAACCGTCTGCATGGTTACTGATGCTCGATTAAGTACTTGTGAAATTAAGATGCATAAAAACAAAAGGAAACAAATAAGAAATTAAAAATACGGAGGACTAATTGTAACTGCAGACATTATTAAACTAAGATGGTAGTTATTAATTTCGAGGTAGGTATTTTTCAGTGCGCAGAACTGCACTCTATATTTCACCCATACGAGTAATTTATGATAACTCACTAAACTTGCCACGGTAATTGAGAGGCAGTGTCGTGGCGTGCTTTGCGATATATCGATTATTATGCCATTAAAACCATGGAAAAGGATCGATAGACAGGGTGTTCGCAGCGAACACCTAAATAATCGATTCTTTACCCTAGGTTTAAATGACATAACAATCGATACACCGCAATTCACGCCATGCCACTGCTGAGAGGGGCACAAAAAAGAAGCTTTTTCTTTTGCCCTTTTTCGAAGTAATATTGAGAGGCGCACACCATAGGAATTGTGGCAAATCATGAAGTAACAAGAGACCAAACAAAAGTTCCCTTTGTGGATGCCAAGGTGGCAGATCATGAGGTTATATTTAACCTCAGAGTTTCCAATATTGTATTCATACCTGCATGATGTGGAAATTCGAATATTGCTAAATCCTCTCATTATTTTTCAATGAAGAAAGAGGTTAGCAAAGCAAACCCTTCCAATTATGGACATGGAAAGACTGACAATGATATTTACGTAGGTACATACAGACTAACTTTATATCGTTACAAAAATGAGACCGCTTAATAGGGAACCTTCAGGTTGTTTTGGTAAATAGTCGTATTGTTCTTTGGTTAAAACTAGATCGCACACAAATGTATGCAAATCCTACCATTTTGGCATTGGAAAACTATTTCAAAGATATTCTTTGTAAAAAATGTCTGCTAACCTGTGGAAGATCCTCAGTTGTTTTTTTTTTTTTCAATTAATTTTTTTTACTGAACGTTTCGACCTTCCAAACAAATAGTTATGTACAAGAGAGACACAAAATTAACAATTTATATTCTTATACTTAAAATTTTATACAATTGATCTAATCAAATATGTACAAACGGAATCTTTGGTATCAAATAACAATATATCTAATCATGGTTTATGAATAATTAATAATACGGCGGTGGGGAAGTAATATCTACACAAAAATCCTAACAGTAGGATAAATGTAGTCAAATATGAAAGTAAGAATAAAGAAGTTATCATAAAATACAACCCGCCTCAGAAAATCGAAGTGGCACTCCCAGATTCGAACAACTCACCATCTGAACACACAACTATAATGTGAACAGTTCTTTTAGAGTCATTTGGATTTTTTTTTTCGCGTCTATGTGAGAATGTACATTTGAACAATATTTAAGAATATAAAAGGTGAATGGATTTGAATGTCTCGTGCCAAAATAAAAATCTAATCTCTAATAAAAGAAAAGCAAACTTTTTTCCTTCGCGCTTTTTTGTTGCGTTCCGTACAGACTTCACTGCATCAAAAGAGCGATTCATTCAGGCAAGTAACATGTAAGTTGTAACCGCAAAAGTTTCCTCGTTGCGATAAAATTTTGTCAGACGTCACAACCAAAAGAATTGTATTATTGTGAAAAAAATTTCTGTTTGTTAAGGCCAAAGTTTTCATCGACGCAAGACGGTGTTACAAAATGTCTACCTAAATCCATTATTTTCTTGAAAAGGAAAAAGCCAACTTTATAGCTTATTGTATATTCTGCTCGCGGAGAGGAAAAACCAGAGAGTTTAAAAAAACTACGTTGACAACTTTTTCAAAGAAAAAATAAAATAAGACAGGGAGTCTAGGACATCGCAAATGGAGATACGAGGTTTTGCACTTTGGCCATCGTGATATCAGTCCAACAAAGTTACCATAGAACTGGTTGGAATTTTTCAACTACAAAGTTTACCCTTTGTTCTCTCTATTACAAGGAAAAATGTAACAAAAAAAAAACATGAAAAGAACATTCTTGAAAGAAATTGCACATCCCTGTGAAAAGTTTTATTTTTCACGTAACCGTACAAAATTGGAATAGAGGTACGTTCTTTCGTCTGGAAAACGACTTCATTTGGAGCACACTTTGTAATTAGGAACAAAAATTTCCACCTCAATCGGAAAAAAATATTATGTGCATAGGGAGACTAATGGTACATTCGTTGTTTCTAAACTGAGCCATAAATTGTGGTTCCTAATTACAAAATGAAGTCCAGTTCTACCGCTTCCTGTCATTTTATGTGCAATGTGGAAGAGGTTAGCTTATTGGGGAAACAAAGGTTGACCTTCCAATGTCTGGGACAACATTCCAAACTCCAAATTTCTTCTCTGATAACTTTGCTTTCCAGTCTAAGGACGAATCGTGTGTTATTGAAATTACATAGGGTGTCCCAAAAGTAAGTGGACTGATGCTGTCATTTCAAAACGAGACAGGTTCGACATGTGTTCTTGTCCTTATTTCAAAGATCAAGTCTTCTTCTATTGATTGAAACCAAGATCTTTGTATTCAAACAAAAATTGACGGCGGAGCTATGGCGCAGTTTTTGCGAGGGGTGTTTGCGTGCCGCCTGCGGGTTTTCTACGGTTCATATTTATCCTTCATATTTACACTGCAAAAAAAGAAACTACGGCCGTAGAAGCCGTACTTACGGGCTATACAGACATACCGTTCGTGTTCCGGGCTCAGAGGCCGAAAGTTCCGCGAGTAGCATCCGGAGCAATCGAAGCTACGTCTCCAGCACCCAGAACTATCGGCCTCTGAGCCCGGAACGGACGGTATGTCAATAGAGCCCGTGGCTTTTTTTTCAGTGTATCATCAGTCCACTTACTTTTGGGACACCCTATGTATTTGCACACTGAAAAAAAAAAACTCCGGCCGTGGGAGCCGCAATTACGGGCTATATAGACATACCGTCCGTTCCGGGCTCAGAGGCCGAAAATTCCGGCTGCTGGAGCCGTATCTTCGGCCTCTGAACCCGGAGCAATCGAAGCTACGCCTCCAGCAGCCGGAATTTTTGGGCTTTGAGCCCGGAACGGACGGTAAGTCTATAGAGCCCGTGACTTTTTTTTTAGTGTATCATCAGTCCACTTACTTTTGGGACATCCTACCTATGTATTTGCAGAAAATCCGGAAAACTGAAATAATCGAGCTCGGTGAGATGAACAGTGTTCGAAACTCACCTCTGAGTTTTAGGAGCCATGTGGCGCATCAAGCCCGATTTTTAGGCGCCATTACAGATTTTTAAGGGGTCAAATTGACTTTTTGCCCATATATTACGGCGCATTTAGTGAAAAGTTAGACGGAAGATGTTTTCGTAACAGAACTAGTAAAAAGCTGTAACCTGGGGAAGACAAAATCACTAAGAATGAAATCGTGAAGAATAGAAAAAGCAATTAAGCTTTCACTTCTAGTGCTGAAAATTCTGAGTTATTTCAATTCAAATATAGATTTGTTTTTCTTTCTTTACGTGACTTCCTGTGAAAATCCAGATTTTTAGGGGGCAATTTTTAGGGGCCATGTTGGCGCAGAGCTTTCATTTTTTAGGCGTCATGACCGATTTTTTAGGCGCATTTGGCGCGTTGGCGCCTATGAGTTTCGAACACTAGAGATGAATTTCTCAGTGTGTGAGGGTTTCCGGGAGCGGGGCTGTCCAGGTTTGAGGCAGGAGCTACGGAGAGGGCCGGAGTTCGGTGTGTTGCGTCTCCTTGTGACGCCTTAAGTCTACCTTCCTCTGGAATGCTCTGCCGCAGAGATCGCATGCGAACGGCTTGAATCCCGTGTGTTTCCGGCTATGCGTGATTAAGTTCGATGATTGACTGAACGCCTTCCCGCACACCTGACATTTGTGAGGTTTCTCCCCTGCAACAAGCCAAATTAACACATCTTTGAAATCTTCGCTTGAAATGTCCAACATGTAGCGAGGTCGTAAATAACGTAGTTACTCGAGGACTTATTCGATAAGAGGGATCACGAGGTTTTAGTGAATGGAGATGTTGCATGTGTGAGGAATTTGCGATTTGACTGTTGATTCTTATGAAAAGTTCGCGAAAAACACGATGGTGCCACTGATTTTCTTGGAAATCAACTCCCAAGCTAAAAAAAAGCTCTCAAGTTCACACCAAAATGGAGGGGACATCCCACGCTATCCTGAGAGTCCACCTCTACATCAAGACAAACTCTCCATGCAAAGATAGGGAGCAAATGCATTAGCAGGGTTGCCGTGTTTTCAGTTTTGGAGTCCCCAAATAAAGTGGCAGCCTGTCAATGTATTTGCTCCCTATCTTTGCATAGAGAGTTTGTCTTGGTGTAGAGGTGGACTCTCAGGATAGCGTGGGATATCCCCTCCATTTTGGCCTCAACTCGAGAGCTTTTTTTGAGCTTGGGAGTTAATTTCAGAGAAAACCAGTGGCACCATCGTGTTTCTCGCAATCTTTTACATAAGAATCATTAGTCAAATCGCAAATTCCTCACACGCATGCAACATCTCCATTTGTCGCTAGTGGCGAGGGGTGAATGATCGATTGTCCATATTTCTTTATTTGAAGCTATGGTATAGAATCGATTATTAGGGCGTTCGTTGCGAGCGCCTTATCAATTGATACTTTTCCATAGGTTTAAATAACAAATCAATCGATATATCACAGAGCACGCCACGCCACTGTTTGTCGCATCCTACACGCCTTTTTACCGAGGACAAAATGAGTAGCTATTTGCATTATTTTATTACTCCTTCCCCTCACCTGTCAAATTTCCTCCACTCCATCATCATTTTAATTCGTAAAAAAAACGCCCAAGGTGACAGGCGCAGCGCGGAGCTGGTGGGAACCGGAGAATCACTCTTTTAATCAGTGGCGAGGCGTACATGATCGATTATCGATTTTTTCCCATTTGAGTCTATGGTAAAGAATCGATTACTAAGGTATACCCTGTATATCGATCCTTTCCCATGGGTTTAAATGGCAAATAAATCGATACATCGCAAAGCACACCACACCGCAGCTTTTAATCAGACAATTGAACTTAGGAGCGCGACGATGAACTGACATGAAATTGATATTTTAATTGGCTCGAAGCCTTGAGCTACTTAGACGGGGAACAAAGGAGAGAGGAGCAGAAGGAAAACATCTCAAACTTGCAAACTAATTGATCGATCAAGAGATGCTTATAAAGATTGAACGGAGAAAACCGCGCGTTGCTCCGTCGTCATGGCAACCGGAAGGCGGTTCCGTATCCGTCCAATCACAGTTTATACCCTCCAATCTCATTTTAAAAACTCTTCCCGCCGCCGCGCCGCGTCAGACCGAGGACGGGCCGCTCTCTTAAAAAAGGGAGAGAGAGAGGAAAAAAGGAGGGGGGTCGATAATTTATTGTTCCCGAAGTCAATAAAGTTGGCATACATTATTCACGCGAGAAAAACCGCGGTGCTTACGAAAACATAAAGCACTGAGGAGGTGGTGCCCTGGCTTCGCCGGGCGGAGGAGGGGCCGAACAGGCAGTGGAGATTGGAATCCTTGCCGATGCAATAAAGATGTGGCATTGTGGGTGTCTAGTTTATCTCCTCCATTTTTCTCTCGGTTTCCCTTTTTTTTTATTCCTCTTCCTCTCCTCTTTATTGATTGGTTTGTTTACGGTGCCCCCTGTGACTTTGTTTATTCATTCGGCTTTAGTTTCCGTTCTGTGGCCTGTTTTGTCCTCGATGAAGCTGGTACTCCATGAGGAGGAATAATGAAAAAAGGGGGACGATTTTCACTTAAAAAGTTAACTTGAACCTAAACCTAACTGAAATATCAATTTTCAACTGGTCAATTCCTGTATTAGTGTTTAAATTCACAAAAGCAGGAAGTAAGCAAAATAAGATATTTTTTTATGAGGAGATGAACTATTATTTTGAACTTTTATATATCAATATCTGAATTATTTTTATACTTGTTCGGTACTCACAACAGAATTAGTCAGTCTGCTCAACCGCACTGTTCGGTCCGCGGAACCGAACTAAAACAAATTCTTACATATGGCAGGTCGGTAGATATATCGCAAAGCATGCCACGCCACGCCACTGATCTCAGTCGCAGATCGGTTTAACACATTTTCTTTGTAGAGGGGACTCGATGAAAAATAATCTTCTTTCATGTGTTCATTTATTCATTTTTATAGCACAGGCATGGAAGACTAGTCTCTTCATTTCCAACCCCATTTACTTCTCGAAATCCTAACATACAGAAATGCGCGTTAAGCGCAGCGCTCGAATACATTCCTCAGCATAAGTGATTACCTTGAATTACAACTATTCAAACACACCTGTCATGGGGTTGCATACCCCCGGCTCCCCGGAGGGGGCCCGTGTTACCCGTGAAAAACCACTACGAATTCACATGCAACCCTTGTTTCGTAAGAAAAAGTGAACAATTTACCCTAAAAATTTCGCAAAAGGTGAATAAATTTTCAGAAACACGCTGGGGCACTATAGAATTCTTCTTAAATTTTCAAAGAAGTATACTTTTTGGAAAATGCCTATCTATTTTCAAGATTTTCAGTACAGAGGGATATTTTTAGTAACTGCGTTTCATTTACTTCCGTCGTCAGATGCTAAGAGTCTCCAGTCTGGGCATCCTCGACTTCAATGGCTCATGGCTCAACTTCCTTGCCATAGACAAACAAAGGGGGAGTCAAGGGGGGCCTGGCCCTCATAGAACTGAAAATAGTATCATATGCCCCCCCCCAAAAAAAAAATAAAAATTTTCGAGATGTTTTGAATGCAACAATTCGCAAGTATTTTGTGCTGAATGTATTAAAAAAAAAAAAAAAAAAAAAAAAAAAAAAAAAAAAAAAAAAAAAAAAAAAAAAAACATAATTATTCCGCAGAAATTGATGGAAAAATTTTTTATGGAAGGTTCAAAATGCGTTCAATTAGTCGTATAAATTCTAAAATTTCTCGAGGGATGCCCCTCGGGCCCCCCCCCTCCGTGCTTGGGGCCCGGACCTTGAAACTGGTACCAGGGCCCGAGATGGGATGTGGCGGGCCTGGTTTGAAGGGATTTTCATTATACCGTAGATAAAGCAACCAATTTTTTATTCCAGCGGATACCCTCCCAGCGATTTCAAAAGGCTAGGAAGGCGTCAAGGAAAAATGAAACATTTAACATCGTTGCTCATGATGAAATTAAGTTAAAACAACTAATGTATAAACCAAACACTCCATAATATTTTCCAAGATCGATTCACCACATAAAATGGAGGCATTAAAGCATTTTTGAGAGAAGTTTAATTATTGACTGCGGACTCAACATTTAAATTCTTCTCAACATCGCAGTTTTCTGAAGCTATGAGCGCTCTTTCATTGAGCTACACTGGAAAAAAAACACATCGGATCTAGAGTCTAGACTCTTGAAAACATTGGCAAAAAAAAAGACTCTTGATTCAATTAGATTTAAGCTTAAATCAAAAGGAAATCCGCTCAAATTAAGAGGCTTGGTTCTTCATTAAAGCTTAAATCTGCTTGAATCAAGAGTCCTTTTTCTTGTCAATTTTTTCAAGAGTCTGGACTCTAGATCCAATGTGTTTTTTTTTTTCAGGGTACGGTGTAAATACTCAAAATTTAAATGAGGGAATGGAGATCAGAGCTGATAAAATATTCTTGTGTTTCAAGGGTTCAAGAGTTTAGAGGAATACGAGTGTGAAATCGTTCAAGTCAGACGGTTAAACGGTTCCTGAGGGACCTGTAACTGCGCACATTTGAGAAGGGAAGGGCGAGTCAAAAAGAACCGCTGCCATTCGACTAGGAATTTCAGCCTCAGATTATAGCAACATAAGCCGCGACGAGAAAAAGAAGTTCAGCCCTTTAAAACAAAAACTTACGCTTAATTGTATTAGCATGTAATATTTTCATTGTAGATATGTTTTAATAAGTATGAACATGTTTAACAAATAATTTGTTCAACCGTTTTCTCTTACTCGCAACCTTGATGAAATATATTCTGTTAAAAATTCTGCTTAGATTTTGAACAAACTGAACTAATCGACACGCCAAATGGACCGAGTTTATCAGAAAGGAACCAACCCATATTTTTGAAAAAAATTGAGTTAATAATGTTTTTGAGTTTCACCTACCGTATATTTTCACCTGCCAAAAATTGAAAGTCTAGAAACAAAACAATTGTTTTGAAACGAGGGGTTAAAGTTTATTTCTTACATTGAGCCTTATGCAGGAATATAAATTCAAACCTCTTTTTCTCAGTTTCAACTTAATGTGGGTTGGTTCTTTCTGATGAACTCGGTCCAAATGATAAGCCCATCCGATCACCTTCTTAGTTCTAATAGATGCATTAGTAAAGTTGTTGGAATGCAATCTGTCAACGAGAACGCTCAATAGTATAATTAATCTTCATCGGGTTTTAGAATATACATGGGAGAAGCTTTTCATTGCTGTCATCAAAATAATATCCATTCCCACTCTCTGGGCTTAAAATAAGGAATCTTTTCGAATTAGGTTACTTTCAAAACAGGTTACTTTTCCAAAATTAATTCTCATGTATACTATTTAAAAACAATTCAGTTGATTTTCTAAAGAAGAAAAGAATTCAAGGATCGTAGCCTATCTACGCATCGATCTCTCACCTGATGAGTTGGAAGGCTCATTGGTGAACATTTCTGAAAAGTAACGATTCCTGATTTTAATGTGCATTAACATAAGTTTGATATTATATGGAGGGCATTTGAAAATTTCAAACTTGTATGCGTCTCAAAATCCGATGGAAATTAACTTTTTTACACCGCACAGCGTTGAGCCCACGTTGTGGCTTTTAACGAAAGCGTCCTATGCGCCTCCTCGCTGACATACTATGTCAGTAATGTCATCCATG